TCCTATTACTACTACAACTACGACTATTACTACTACGACTACGATTGCGATTCATACTACGACTACTACGACTACTTTTTCTATTACTACTACTACTACTCCTACTACTACTACTACTACTACTGCGACTACTACTGCTACGACGACAACTACTACTACTACGACTACTACTACTACTACCGGGGACTACTACTACTACTACTACTACTACTACTACTACTACTACTACTACTACTACTACTACTACTACTACTACTACTACTACTACTACTACTACTACTACTACTATTGCTACTACTACCACGACTACTACTACTACTACTACTACTATTACTACTACTACTACTACTACTACTACTACTACTACTACTACGACTACTACTACTACTACTACTACCACTACTACTACTACTACTCCTACTACTACTACTACTACTACTACCACTACTACGACGACTACTACTAATAATAATAATAGTACTACTACTACTACTACTACTACTACTACTACTACTACTACTACTACGAGTACGAGTACTAATACTACTACGACTACTACTACGCATAGTTCTAGTACCACAACAAGAACTACCAATATTACTACTACTACTACTACTACTACTACTACTACTACTACTACTACTACTATTATTCATTCTTCCCGAGAAGAAGGGGACCGATTCGTACTACAATCCTTGTACGAACAGGCACGAGAGTTCTTGATCGTGTAGGGTAATTTTGGGGCGATATCCGCCAGGAGCAACAACCACCCAACACATCCAGCACGGCGAACATCAGTTGGAAACAAATCTTGGGGCGCGGGGAGAAGAGGATGAAATGGATGAGGAGCGAGAGGCTGAGGAAGAATGGGAGGAGGACTTTCTGGATTATCGATGAGCGAAGCAAGGAGGGAGGAGGAGGAGGGGGGGAGGAGAAGGCAAAGGAGGGAAGGGAGGAGGAGGAGCAGGACAAGGACAAGGACAAGGCGAGTCGAGGGACTATCTTGCCAGGCAACAGATTTGGTGGAGGGGCTCGAGCAGCATTAAAGGCCTCCCGCGTCTAAGTCATGCCGCAGCTAGTCGGGTGAACACCGCAGGAGGACTGCGTAGGGGCAGGAGCCAGGGAGGGAATTGGGAGAGTACCATAGGTTGCGGGCGTTGGCACCCCCGATGTCAAATGACTTGCTTCGCGACCTAGAGACGGCCCTCGAAGTTTTTGTTCGTCCCAGTAGCTCGTAAAGTCTTCCTGACACGCCCCTACGACATATCCTGACTTACGGTCCCGACGGCCTGATTTTCTCCGTTGTTGGTTCCCACGAAGTGTGCCCCAGTTGCCAGTTCATGTTCAACATTTTGCCGAGAGATCGGGCCAAGACGATCGTCGAGAGCAGGCCTTGGTTTTTGAACGTGACGCGCCTTTGGTCCAAGTCGCCGCTGGAATGCGACCGGATCTCGGGAGCCAGCGGATTCGATGGAGCCCTCACGCTCTTCGCGGTGCCCTGGAGTCAGGTGCGCTCCTCCCCGCCCGCGCCCGGAGCCGCAGAGGCGAGGTCTCGTGCCGCGACGGAGTGACAGGGCCAGTGCCCACGGCAGAGGCGGTGGGTGGCGAATGCAGCACCGTTAACACAGGAGCACAGGCGTTGCGGGAGGAAAGGGGGTGTGACTACACCAGGGGGACGGTCCAGCCCGGCCCTGCAGGGCCCGGCCCGACAGTAGCTGAGACGTGGTCTTGGAGCTCCAGGGGTTTTAAGAATCCTGCTTGCAACCATGATTGGGGGACCTTCGAATTATTGGAGGGGGTTCTCTGCGGCGCGCAGAAGGTGGCAGGGCGACGGGTGCGGCATTCAAAGAAGGCCAGGGTAGGTGGGTGGCCCCTTAGATCTTAGGAGTGCGCCTGCCCACTTAGGAGGCCCTCGTAGATTTGAGCCCTCTCGGGCGAGGCCGATGCCTTCCGAGAAGCCCCTGCGCTCTTAGAAGGGATCCCCCCCCTTCACCCTGCCCCCGACCCAAATCCGCACAAAGCCAGCCCCTGGATTCCTGTGGGGGAGCGTCCTGGGTATTTTTTCGAGCTGCGCCCAGCGATGGCCACGAGAACCCTCCAGGAGGTACAGAACGGGCGAAAACCATAACACCACAAACACGGACAATACGCAGTTGAAAACAATCAGCCTGGCGAAGGACTCAACCATATGCAGTTGTGAGTAACGCAGTCTGGGGCCACGAAACGTGTGAATGGTGAACCGAAAAAGATGTGGGCGGACGCATGCGAACGCAGCCGATGGAGAATTCGCTGGCACTCCCTGTGGGACCACGAAACGTGTGAGAGGTGTGCCGAAATTGGCGGGGCGGGCCCATGCGAATAACGCCACTGGGGCCTTCGGTGGAGCTCCCTATGGGGCCACGAGACGTGTGGTGGGTGTGCCGTAATGAGTGCAGAGGGCGCATGCGAACGTAGCCACTTGGGCCTTCGATAAAGCTCCCTATGGGGCCACGAAACGTGTGAGTGGTGTGCCGAAATGAGTGCGGAGGGCGCATGCGAACGCAGCTACTGGGGCATTCGGCAGGCTTCGCTATGGGGCCACGAAACGTTTGAGGGGTGTGCCGAAATGGTTGACTGGTGTGGAGGGCAGAGGCAGGGATGGACGAGGGAGGAGCGGGAGGAGTAGGAGGCAGGAGGCAGGGACGTCGGGCGTTGTCAGTTGCGACACGCAAGACCAGGCAAAGCCAGGACCCAACACAACAGAACAGTTGCGAAAAATTGCAGCCAGCGTGGACCCCAAGCAGTAAGCTATTGCGTTGCGCATGTGCAAGCTGCGTGGTGCAATATATACGGTGCAAGCTGTGCGGTGTAACCTGCGTTGTGAGGCTGCAACGGGCGGCAACGCGGCAAATACTCGGCATACCCTACCAGGCGGCAACGGGCGGCAACGCGGCGAGTCTTCGGCATACCCACAAAGGCGGCAGCGGGCGGCAACGTGGCGAATCTTCGGCATAGCCATCCAATTCCGTAGTAAGACAAGTAAGAACCCCTAAGTACACACTGTTTGAGGAATAAGTCGAGCCTCTGGGAGGTCGAACCCCCTGCGCGACGCCAATGTGCTGAGACCATGTTCCCTGTATTGTTGGCACCCTCCGGGGCCTCGCCAGAAGAAACAGCAGCCAACCAGGGGCAGGGAAGGGGCGGGGGTGGACCTCCCGCCTCGGATCAGACGTGCTCCCAGTTGCGCGGTCGTCCCCCTCTTCATCCTCGTCATCACTCCCCTTGTAACTGTCCTGGTTCTCCTGGCCCTGGCCTTCTCCTGTCTGCTCCGAGTGCCAGCCGCGGACACGGCGGTTGCGCGGGCCCTCCTGGAGCTACCCTGAAGTCGGGCCTGTCCCTCTACAGGCGGAGTATCCCAGAAGAGTCAAACAATAGTCTGGCGACGTGCTTCGATGATTTGGGGCCTACGCTTGAGTATGCTGTGGCCTTTTGTGTCAAAGTCCCTTCCTTCCCAAAGCCGCCTGCAGGAGGCCATGCCCGACCGAAGGCTGCCCGAAGCCGTGCCCCCTCCCGGCCGCAGCGCTGCCCGCGCCCCGCAGGCAGGCCCGCCCGCCTCCGCCGGAGGGGAGGCCCTGCCTGGACGTGGGCACGGTAGCGCCCGGGCTGGAGGAAGAAGAAACGCCACACGGTCAAGACGCTGAAATACAGTCGTGGCGCTGAAGAAGGAACTCTTTTCGTTGGGTAGGGGCTCCGTGTTCCTTAATAATTTCATAGTTTGCCCCGCGTTTTCCTTAGGTTTTTGAAGGGAAATCGAAGTTCAACTTCTGGAGAAAAGGGGCCTCGTTCCTTATTTGGGGTTCCTCAGGTCAGCGCCCCGACTGTAAGGAACAGTTTGGGTTCGGCAGGGGCTCGATGTCCCTTGGGTTCCTCCAGTGCTGTTCCTCTTGCCCTCCTGGGGCACGGAGGCGCTTGCAGGGCCAAGAAGGGGCTTCGCTCCTGATTCAGCAGTCCTCCTTTCAGCGGCCCGACTGTAGACATAAACTTCGGGCGCTCCGCGCGGATCTCTGGGAGCCGCGTTGGGGCCCCCTGGCGGCGCCTCCGGCGCCGCCCCTGGCAGGGGGCGTCTGGCCCGGATCCCAGAGAAATCCGCGCGGACCTCCACGAGTTTGGGGTTCATACCATTTTTTCTTCCTCCAGCCCTGGCGCTGCCGTGTCCGCGCCCACGAGCAGGGCTCCCCGTCTGGCGGAGGAGGAGGAGGAGGAGGAAGGCGTGCAGCGGCTACACCAGTGGAGGGCGCGCCGTTTTCAGAATGCTACCACTTTCGTTCTGAACGTCTGTTGCAGTCAACGTGGGGAGGGCTGGCGTTTTCGAAATGTGGCTTTGGCCGCAGCGCCGCGCACACGTGTGCTCAAGTGCATGCGCTGGCTACACGCCGAGGGCGTTCTCCTTTCAATGTTGGCTTCTGGCTTGGGCCCTCCTCACAGGTAGCACTCGGAAGGTCAAGAGACTACAACAGCTACGCTTGTGGATGGCAGTTATTGCTCAACATGGGACTCCTCGCTTGGTCGTAGGTCGGCGCATAGGTTCTGACACGTCATCCGTAACCCTTTTTGGCCCAAGCGGTAGGGCCCAAGCACTCTGCGGCTTCCTCCTCCTCCTCCTCCTCCTCCTCCTCCTCCTCCTCCTCCTCCTCCTCCTCCTCCTCCTCCTCCTCCTCCTCCTCCTCCTCCTCCCCCCCCTCCTCCTCCCCCTCTCAGGTCCGGCCTCCCTACTGGCACCCTCTCCCTTCCTCCCCCTTGGTGGGCGGCCATGAAGCGCTTCGGCCTCGGCGGCCTCTTCCGCAGGCGAGCCGAGGAGGTCAGCGCCGCCAGCGCCACGACCAAGGATTTGGCATCGCTCGGACGTGTGCATTTTTTTCTCGGCGACGGCCATCGAGGATCATCCTTGATCATTTGGCGAAAAAAAACACGCACGAAATCGAAACATACACGAGGAATGGACGTCCGAGCGATGGCGAGAGGAGCACGGAGAGCCTGCGGAGCTCGCGGTCGCGAGGGTCCCCAGCCTGGGCTCCCCCAAAGACAGCCGGGCCGCCACCAGGAGCTTCACCCTCTCCAGGAGCCGCAGCCAGCTCCTCGTCGACCTGAAGTGGACCGAGGACGCTTCGGCGACAGCTCCTGTGAACTCTGTCGGCGCCGGTCAATGTCCGTGGTCGGAAACCGTCCTGATCCATTCAGCATCATACAGCATATCCGGCTTAATCCTTCGGATTGGAGGGGCATTACGGCCGTTGCCGCCGACCCTGAACGACGACTACGACGACGATGCTGACGTGGGTCAGGGTCCAGTGATGTTTCTTGGGGTCTCTTCGGAGCGCTCTCGGCGGCATCTGGGGGGTAGTTTTGGGGCCTCTTGGGAGCCTCTTGGAGGCCTGTTCGGAGGCTCCTGGGGGGCTCTTGGGGTTTCCCGGAAGCCTCTTGGGGGTCTCTTGGAGGCTTTTTGGAGGCTTCTTGGCGCTTCCTGAAGCCTCTCAGGCCGAGGGCTCGACATGTCCATTCGTTCCCCTCTGGGCACCTTCTTGGAGCCTTGGTCTCTTGGGCCGTCTTGGAGACCTCTTGGGCCGTCTTGGGGCCCTCCTGGGTCGTTTTGGGGCCCTCTTGGAGGCCTCTTGAGCTATCTTGGGGCGATATTGGTGTCCTCTTCCGTCTTGGAGTGTCGGGAAGCCGAAAATTCGAGAATCCCAATTTGTATCAAAAACATAAGAGAATCAATTATTATTGCCTCATGGGGGTGCTCTTGGAGGCCTCTTGGAGCGTCTTGGAAACCCCGTGGGCTGTCTGGAGGCCACTTTGGCATCTTGGACCGACAGTTCGGCGATTCGGGGCCCTCTTGGACCGTCTTGGGGCGTCGTTGGTTTTCCCTTCGACTCAGCTACGGCGTTGCTGCTTAATTGCGCGTTGGCTGGCGCGCTTGAGGAGGAGGGCCCACGGGGGGGAACGACGACGACGACCACCACGACGACGACGAAGACGACGACGACGAACGCATTAGCGTCTTCCACACGCCGACATGGTCGGCGGATTTGATTTGGGCATTTTGTCATCAAGGGTCCTGGATGTGTGTACAAACATTTTCATATATAATATATTCTCAAACTTACATTTCTATCACCCGGAACCCCCCACCCACCCCCACCCCCCTAAACCAGACCCTCCCCCAGGGACGCCCCGGACGCCCTTTCGGACGTCTCGGCGGCCCCCGGGACGCCCTTGGAAAAGGTCCGCTGGCCCTTCCTGGGCCTCCCTTGGCGTTTTGCCGGGCCTCGCGAGCAGACCCAAAGCGATCAGAGGGGCCATCGGAAAGGCGCAAGGGAGACCGAAGACAGCACAAGAGCGCTCCAAGAGGAACCTCGATGGTCCGAAGACGGCCCACGAGGCCCCCAAGACGTCCCAAAAGGCCGCCAGGAGGGCCCCGACGAAGCAAAAGTTGCCCCATTCCCTGAGGAAAATGTATATTTGTAGCATCTCCGCTTTGGGGGTCTTCGCCGCGTCCAGGACGGCCCGAAGGGGCCCAGATATCGCCTCAAGGCGGCCCAAGAGGCCCCCCAGAGGGTTCGAAGACGGCCCAAGAGGGCCCCAAGGCTGCCCCAGAGAGCTCCGAGACTGCCCACAAGAAACCCAAGATGCTCCCAGAACGCCCCCAAAAGAAACCCACGAAAGCCATGGGAGACCCCCTGAGAGCCCACTGGAGGCCCCCAAGAGGGCCCTGGATGGCTTCAGAAGACCTCTGGAGGGCCCCAGCTCCCCCCGGAGGGCCCCAGTTCCCCAAGACGGCCCAAGAAGGCCCCAGGACGGCCCAAGAGGGCCCCAGGACGGCCGAAAAGAGCCCAAAAAACATCCAGACGGCGTCCTCCGTGCGCTCGTTGCGCTCACGCCAGCCCGCCTGTCTTTCCCGTACCTCTATCACACTCCCTCTCTCTCTCTCTCTCTCTCTCTTTCTCTCCCTCTCTCTCTCTCTCTCTCTCTATCTCTCTTTCTCTCTCTCTCTCTCTCTCTATCTCTCTCTCTCTCTCTCTCTCTCTCCTTCTCTCTCCCTTCCCCCCTCTGCCTTCTTCGCCGACCTCCACGTTCGTGGCATCCGATGGCCATGCCATCCTCATTCGCCCGCTCCTTCCTCTGGACCTTCTCCCCGTTTCTGCCCCCTCTCCTCCCCCCTGTCCGCCTTTTCAGCCCTCCCCTCATCCCTGCTCCCTTCCCGTTCGCTGCTCATGGAAAAGTGCCATCGCAACAGTTTGATGCTTCGTCGTTTGCCAGCACCTTCGCGCGTGAAAAATTATCGTTCCTTCCCCGCTCCTCCGCACAAGCGCGCAGGCGCATCCGGCGGACGCGGTGCCAGCAGGCACCAGGGACATCAGAAAAATGAGCCGATCGCCCGCCCAGGCCTCGAGGTCCCCCCTGCTCAAGCAAGCGGTGATTCATTGCTTTGCCGGGGAAGCGTCCGGAACAAGGCTCATGACGCGAAGCGCCAGTGCAGTCTTGTAAGTATGTGTGTGTGTTCGTAAGATGGGCCAGGGGAACATTGCCGGCTCCAGAATCGGTGGTTTGATGGTCACCCATTTGGTCTCCCGCGTGGTTTCCTGGATGGTCTTCCGCGTGGTCTCATATAAGCTGTCGCGTTTTCTCTCCCGTATGGTCTCCCGCATGCACAGTTTGGTATAAAGTTTTCTGCACCATTCAGTCACACTGCTGCTTGGCGTCTTCTGCCGACAGGGTACAATAATCATACGTTAATCGGGCTTGGCACGTAGGCTCGTGTCGCGTCGACGCGGTTGCGACCCTTGCGCGGGCGTTCAAGGTTGAACGCCGCCAGTGATTCAGAATCGACCAATGTGGAACTAACTGTCTGTAGATTGAGAACCGCCGATCATGTCGGGCGTAGCCCGAATTTGTTTGTCGCGAGGTAAACTGATTGAACTGAACTGAACTGAACTGACTGGTCGCACCCGTTACGCGACGGCTTTATTCTCTGCTGCCGAGGGCGCAGCCGATAGGAGACGGTTTTGTTTTCGGCTGCCGAGGCCGCAACCTATGGCGCAACCGATCGGAGACGGTTTCACTATCGGCCGCCGAGGGCGTAATTTATGGCGCAGCCAATGGGAGACGGTTTTCTTCTCGACCGCCAAGGGCGCAGCCAATGGCGCAACCGATAGGAGACGGTTTTATTCTCAGCCGCCGAGGGCGCCACCTATGGCGCAACCGATAGGAGACGGTTTGATTCGGCCGCCGAAGGCGCAACTTATGGCGCAACCGATAGGAGACGTGTTTATTCTCGGCCGCCGAGGGCGCAACCTATGGCGCAACCGATGAAACCAGTAGGAGACGGTTTTCTTTTCGGCCGCCGAGGGCGCAACCTATGGCGCAACCGATCGAAACGATAGGGGGCGGTTTTTGTCTCCGCCGCCGAGGGCGCAACATATGGTGCAACCGATAGGAGACGTGTTTATTCTCGGCTGCCGAGGGCGTAACCTTTGGCGCAACCGATAGGAGACGGTTTTATTTTCGGCCGCCGAAGGCGCAACCTATAGCGCAACCGATGGGAGACGGGTTTTTTTCAGCCGCCCAGGGCGCAATCTATAGCGCAACCGATAGGAGACGGTTTTCTTCTCGGCCGCCGAGGTGCCAGGAGAAGGAGGATGAGCAAGAGGAGGAAAACGAGAAACGAGGTTGAGGTCTCAGACGAGGACGACGAGGAGGAGCTGGACCAGGAAGAAGACAAGGACAACGAGGAGGACGAGGAGGAGGACGACGACGACGATCAGGGTAGGGAGGTGGACGGGGAGGAATACGAGTAGTACGAGGACGAAGTGTGGGCATTCGAGTGCGTGCGGGGCTACGCCCGATGTATGCTCGCCGTTTGGGCTGGCGGTGGGGCCCAAGCGGCGAGCTGTCTTGTGATTGCAGGTTGATTGCGACTTGAACGATCCAAGTGGTCTCAAAAACCAACGCCTGGGCCGTCGTGACGCGGGCCGTGGCCTTCAATCTCCCCCACGGGGACCTTCCGCGAGCTGCCCCCCACAGGACGCAGAGCACCAGCCGGAGCCCCCCGAGGGGATCTTGGAGCAGGCGCAGCAGGGGGCCTGCTCGGCGAAGGATCGGCCGCGCGCCCCCCGGGGGGGGGGAGCGAGAGGGAGCAGGCCCGCTCAGAAGGCGGCGGGGCTGCCCGGAGGCCCCCGCGCCTCCCGAGGAGCCGCGCCCCGCGGCGTCGGCGCAGGCCCGGAGCTCCTCTCGGCGGCCCCGCCGCCCACCGAGACGGCCCGCCCCCTCTCGCTTCCCCCTCCTGGGCCTGCCGCCTGCGAGGCGAGCGCAGAGCGCGAGCTCTGCGACGAGGAGGCCTGGCGGCGCTCGGCGTGGCGGCGGCGGCTGCTGCCGGCCGCCCTCGTGGCGGCCTGCACCGGCGGGGCGCTCTGCGTGGCGACGGCGCACCACGCCGCGCTGGCGGCGGTGGTCGGCGGCGGAGGCTCGGAGGATCCGGCCACGCGCCAAAGGCTTGGCCTCGCTCGGCCGTATGCGCTTTGTCTCTCGGCGAGGGCCCTCGAGGGGCCTCCTGGGCCCTCTGGCCCCCCCAAAGAAGCACGCCGCACGGAGAGAGCCGACAGGTGCACGAGGGGGACGGACGTCCGATCGATGGCAGGAAGGGGGCCGAAGGGGGGGGGGGGGGGGGGGGGGGGCGGCCTCCGAGCAGCGCCCTGCCTCTCCGCAGGCGCGGGCCTCCGTCTGCAGAGGTGAGGCCGGGCGCCCTTCTGAGAGGCAGCCTCCTTCGAAGAGGACTCCCCCATGTAACCCCCTCCCCCATAACACCCCCCTCCCCCATATAACCCCCTCCCCCATGTAACCCCCTGCCTCCTTCGAAGAAGCCTCCCCCCCTCCCCCATACAACCCCCCTGTGCGCGCCGCCGACACGACGGGCGAGGGTCCCAGCGGGCGGGGTTGGAGGATCACGCCGCGTTGCCGATGCGTCGGC